GCGGCCACTGCACTCCAGTGTGGGCAACAGAGTGAGACTCCAACTCAAAAAAAAAAAAAAAGAAGTTAGAACTGTCTACAGAAAGGAGAATCAGGGCCAGGTGCAGTGGCTAATGCCTATAATCCCAGCATTTTGGGGAGGCGGAAGCGAGGGGATCGCCTGAGACCAGCCTGGGCAACATAGAGAGACACCAACTCAAAAAACCCCAAATCCCAGCACTTTGGGAGGCCGAAGTGAGAGGCTTGCCTGAATCCACAGCTTCAAGATCTGCCTTGCTTGCGAGATCTGCTCAGCTTGCGAGACCTCATCTCTACAATATATCAAAAAATTAGCCGGGCATGGTGGTGTGTGTCTGTAGTTTGAGCTACTTGGAAGGTTAAGGCAGAAGAATAACCTGAGTCCAGCAGGTTGAGGCTGTGGTGGCCATGAGCGTGCCACTGCACTCCAGCCTGGCCGACAGATTGAGACTCCAACTCAAAAACAAGAAAATGGAGACTAAGGTAAACCCAGTAGTAACAATTACGAGGAGCGTTTTACTTTAATATTAGAATTTTATTAAACTGTTGAACAGTGGTGCCTAAGGTGGGTTTCCTGTCCTTAAATGTGTGCAAGCAGAAACCTGACCATGATGTTGCAGGGATGTCAGGGGATCTGCACAATGGATTGCCTGTGTGAGGGTATAGATCGACAGAGTTGAGGAAGCAGTCAAGTGCCTGCTGAGATCTGGGAACCTGATGCAGTCTAGGCCTGCAGCTAATGGCTCCAGTCACTAGCCGTCCTGGGATTGTGGCTGCCCTTTCACTTTAAACCATGTATTTTGCAGAGAAACAAGAGCAGAGGCTAATTCTCCTCTTCAAGAGAACTCTGCATCCCTGAATGAAGCTGAGACCTTGAACCCAGAAGCGACTCTATCATTGGAGGGGACCTTGAACCTAGAAGACATTCTCTACCTGGAGGATACAGGTGACCTTGATGAGACACTCTCTGTAGAAGAGACTGAGCAGCCAGAGGAGACACTGTATATTGAGGAGACCAGGCAACCAGAGATGCTATATGTGGAAGAGCCTGTGGAAGCAAAGGAGACACTGTACGTGGAGGAAACTGTGGAGCCAGAGGGGATACAGCTTGCAAAAGAGCTTGCAGAGCCAGGAGAGCCAAGCCCAGAGCAGGTTGTTTATGGGGAAGAGATGATCACAGGGGAGAAATTGAACATCGAGGAGACTCTCAGAGCTGAGCCAAGCCCCAGCACAGAGGAGAGCTTAAGCATAGAGGACCTGGAATTGCTAGAGGGGCGTTTCCAGCAATGTGTCCAAGCTGTGGCCCAGCTGGAGGAAGAGAGGGATCAGCTCATCCATGAGCTTGTGTTGCTCCGGGAACCAGCCCTGCAGGAGGTGCAACAAGTCCACCAGGACATCCTGGCTGCCTACAAACTGCATGCCCAAGCAGAGCTGGAGAGAGATGGGATACGGGAGGAGATCCGGCTGGTCAAGCAGAAGCTGTTCAAGGTGACAAAGGAATGTGTGGCCTACCAATACCAGCTGGAGTGCCGCCAGCAGGATGTGGCTCAGTTTGCTGATTTCCGGGAAGTGCTGACTACGCGGGCAACCCAGCTCTCAGAGGAACTGGTCGGGCTCCGGGATGCCTATCAGAAGCAGAAGGAGCAGTTGCGACAACAACTAGAAGCACCCCCAAGCCAGAGGGATGGGCACTTTCTCCAGGAGAGCCGGCGACTCTCTGCCCAGTTTGAAAATCTAATGGCAGAGAGCCGCCAGGGCCTGGAGGAGGAGTATGAGCCACAGCTGCTACGGCTCCTGGAGAGAAAAGAAGCTGGGACCAAGGCTCTGCAGAAAACCCAGGCTGAGATCCAGGAGATGAAAGAGGCTCTGAGACCCCTGCAAGCAGAGGCCCAGCAGCTCCACCTGCAAAATAGGAACCTGGAGGACCAGATCACACTTGTGAGGCAGAAACGAGATGAAGAGGTGCAGCAGTACAGGGTAGGCCCATTGGGCATGAAAGAAATTGAGGTCTTTTCACTGGGGAAGGGAAGGGTAACTCCTGTCTTTGGGTCCAAAAGATACTATCACACGTAGGAAAAGCAACTTATTCTTCGGGGTCATTCACTCCATTCTTCATACAGGCCTGTGTTGGTGGCTCAAGCCTGTAATCCCAACACTTTGGAATGCCCATGCTAGAGGACTGTCTGTGCTCGGGGGTTCGAGACCAACCCGGGCAACTTGATGAGACCCTGTATCTACAATAAATGACAAAAATTAGCCTTTTTTTTTTTATGTATTGTAGAGATGAGGTCTCGCCTAGTTTCCCAGGCGGGTCTCGAACCCGCGGGCTCAGGCAATCCACTCACCTCAGTCTCCCAAACTACTGGGATTACAGGTTGGGCCACCAAGCCTGGCTAAGTTTTCCAGTCTTTAGATGAGGATGAAATCTGTAAATCTCTATTCCTCATTTTCCTTTTTTGTGCATTTGTACCATCTCCTTTGTATTCAAGTTACTTCTGATTAAGTGTGAGCCAGTTCTAATCCCTTTTTAGAACAGAGTGAGATATACATACTAAGTGAATAAACAATTATGTCATCTCTCCCACAGACTATGAGCTTTCAGAAGGTAGGGGTATGGTTTACTTATAAAAGAGAGAGGTGCAGTAAGAGGGCTATGGGATGAGATTATTTTGTAGCCATTGTTAAATCAGCTAACTTTTTTGAGTTGGAGTCTCACTGTCATGCAGGCTGGAGTGCAGTGATGCTCACAGCCTCCATAGCCTCAACCTACTGGGCTCAGATGATCCTTCCACCTTAGCCTTCCAAGTTGCTGGAACCACAGGTGCATCCAGCTAATTTTTTTTTTTTTGAGTCAGCGTCTGTCACCCAGGCTAGAGTGCAGTGGCAAGCACATGGCCACCACAGACTTGACATGCTGTGCTCAGGTGATCCTTCTGTCTCAGCCTCTTAAGTAGCTGAACTACAGGCATGTGCCACCACAGCTGGCTAATTTTTTGATTTATTGTAGAGACAAAGTCTCGCCAAGTTGCCCAGGCTGGTCTGGAACTTCTGGACTCAGGTAATACTGTCACCTCTGCCTCCCAAATACTAGGATTACAGATGTGAGCCACTGCGCACAGCCAGATAACTCTTCATGAGGTAGAATTTGAGACTGGTATTGAAGTACAGGAAGAATCAAGACCAGTGCTGTCCAACTGAAATATAATGCAATTCACAAATATATATATATATTAATATACACACACACACATATATATATATAAGTTTCTTTTTGAGTTGAAGTCTCACTCTATCACCCAGACTGGACTGCAGTGGCCATTCCCGGCCACCACAGCCTCGACCTGCTGGGCTCCAGTGATCCTTCTACCTCAACTTTCCAGGTAGCTGAAACCACACAGGCGCATGCTACCATGCCCAGCTAATTTTTTTTTTTTTTGAGTTGGAGTCTCACTCTGTCGCCCAGACTGGAGTGCAGTGGCTGCTCCCGGCCACCACAGCTTTGACCTGCTAGGCTCCGGTGATCCTTCCGCCTCAGCCTTCTGAGTAGCCGGAGTTACAGGCGCACACTACCAGGCCCGGCTAATAATTTTTTGATTTATTTTATTTTTTTGAGTCAGAGTCTCACTTTATCACCCAGGTTGGGCTACCACAGCCTCGACCTGCTGGGCTCAGGTGATCCTTCTGCCTCAGCCTTCCAAATAGCTGGAACTACAGGCATGTGACACCAAGCCCAGCTAGTTTATTTATTTATTGTAGAGATGAGGTCTTGCTAAGTTGCCCAGCCTGGTCTCAAACCTGCAGACTCAGGTAATCATCTCACCTTGGCCTCCCAAAGTGCTGGGATTATAGACGTGAGCCACCGTGCCCGGCCTAATTTTTTGATTTATTGTAGAGATGAGGTCTCGCCAAGCTGCCCAGGCTGGTCTCAAACCCATGGGCTCAGGCAATCCTCTCATCTCGGCTTCCCAAAGTGCTGGAATTACAGGCGTGAGTCACTGTGCCCAGCCAGCACTATTGATTTTAATATGCATCCTGATCTGAGAATTTGATGTGATATAATAATTGCAGGAATAAGGCACTGTGCTGATGAAACAGGTACGAGTATCCCTGCCTGAGGAAACAGAGAAATTTCATAGAAGATTAATAAAGATACTAGAACCGAGTCTTTTTTTTTTTTTTTTTGAGTTGGAGTCTCACTCTGTCACCCAGACTGGAGTGCAG